CTGTTAGTCTCACAGAGATTATGAGGGATTACAGGGATTATGAATCTAGTTTAGCAAAACCACATTTGCGTAGTGAGTGACTACAGCTCCTTATGTCGGCGTGCTGTACTAAACAACTATCCTGAGATGCAGGAGCTGTGAAAGGAGGAAATTGGTTCACATGGATCTTCACACCAAGTCATCATTTCCAGGGACTTTCAGCTCTCCAGATTCTTCTCTGAATTATCCTGAGTCAGCATTTTTATGTACTAGCTAATAGATTTTGCATGTGACCTGAAGTTTTTAGTGGAGAGCCGAGTTTGTAAAGGTCAGTGTCGAGAGCAGATACTTCTGCCATTTGTACTGTCAAAGTAATTTCATTATGGTACAGTTCTTCCCAAGTGAGCAAGCTGCTGGGGTGGGGTGTGACAGTTCTTGGCTGAACCATTATACCTTCCTCTCCAAAGTAGCATGCTTCATGCATCTGAAAACCACAGGAAGCCAAATGCCTCCATCTGAGCCACTTTCTGATAATCTTTTACAGGTATAAACCTTCAGTATTAAGCTTGGTGCTGCTGGTGTTCGGTCCCGTGGTCTGGGCTTGCACACAGCTGCAGTAGGCAGCCTCTGCACTGGCAGCATGGAACAGTCCTCCTTAGCCCTGACCCAAAGCCCAGGAAAGGTAATGGGAATAATTCCAGTCAACCTCAGTGGGCTATGGATCTAGTACAAAGTTATGTTTTATGTGTCATTGGTAAAGTTACACATAAAAAAAGAGCCAGTGCTGCTGCTGCTTCTTGGAAAGTGAGAGTCAAGACAGTTCTTGGCCGTTAACGAAGCAAAGATATAGACTGCCTGCATGGCTTTGAGGTGTTTAACCTTCCTTATGAGAGCTGGGTGTTCAGCAGTTTGCCAGTTTCATCCCTAATTGACAGAATATACTTGTGACTCTGCATTTAATCATGGTTGCTGATTGGAGTAAGTTAATCAAGGAACTGATTGGGGTAATTTGGAATAGGCCCCACTGGTGAGTGTCAGTAGTTAAGATGGATTGCACAATGGAGACAATAGCTGGTAAAAGGTAGGGTGGAGGGTAGGCAGTAAATAATTCCCAAGTTGTCCGGCAGGGGACACTGTAGCCTTGTTCAATGAGAGTTCCCTCTCAACTGCTCAGGGTGGTGAGAAGCCCACAGTCTCAAAATATTCATAGACAGGGTAAGTGGTGAGGCGAGGAAGCTTGCTGATGACGCTACATTATTCAGATCGAGGAAAAGGCAGACTGAAGAATTCTGGAAGGCCATTGTGAGGCTGAGGTTCTCGGCAATAAAATGTTAAATAACACACAATCTAGGTATACACACAGCAATGTGCATAGGGACAAAAGCAATCAGAACTTCACCTGTGAAATTACTAACTTTGAGTTGACCTGTACTATTCAGGAACAAGATGCTGATATGGTATATAACTTGATGAAAGCTTTGTTTCAGTGCTCAGTGGTGGTCAGATATGTAAATCAAGCGTTAGGAATGATTAGGAAAGGCACAGTTGATAAAACAGCAAATGCTGCCATACCATGGCACAAGTCCATGGTTTTTCTTCACCTGTGCACCTGTTCTGGTCCTCATATCTCAAAGAGGATATAATAAACTTGGAAAAGGATCAAGGAGGAGCAACAAGGATAAGCAAAAGTAAGGAATGACTTTGACTTGAAGAATGACTTCAGAGGCTAGAAGCCTGTAGGCTGGAAAAGAACCAGCTTGCTAGGAATATGATGCAGATCTCTAGGCTCAGGAGTGGCATGGAGAGGTGTGGATAGGGGTCAGCCATTCGGTGTCTTCCAAAACAAGAATGTTACACAAAGCTAGTAGCAGTCAGGTTCAGAGCAAAAGGAGGTGGTTCTTCATAGAGTGTGTAGCAGACCTGGCAAAATTGTTGCTGAAAGATATGGATGCCAAAACTCTCTCTGGGCTCAATAAAAAGCTGAAGAAGTACCTGGAGGAGAAATCCATTGAAGAACCTAAATATGGCAAAACCCTATCTGGCTCAGAAAATCCCCTGACCTGAAAATAGTTGCAGATAGGGAGAGTACAGAGAAGGAAGTATCATATGTGCTTGTCTTGTTCTTTCTCTTCCCTCAGTATCCATTTGTGGCCACTGTCAAGGTCCAGATACAGGGTTCAGGGACCTTTGATCTGACACAGTACGGGTGTTCTTGTGACACTGGTATTTCTGTAAGGTGCCCCAGAGGAGAGGTCTGCAGCAGCCCCTCTGAGCTCCCCAGCAGCAGATCTCCATGGCAGGGCTGTGTCTATGTGCAGCACCATTACCTAGCTTGCTCTATGCTATGCCCTCCTCTGCCTTGTTTATGCAGTGTGCACTTTCTTTCACATGTTTGCATGAATTATGTGTTAAATTATAGAATTCTTTTTTTCTTTTTGTAATAAAAAACTGTTGGTAGGTGTGGTGTTTGAAGATGAGGGGAGATATGTAGACTCACTGGACTTCGTTGTCATGAAAGGGGGGGGGGGGGAAGCCTTGCTTTTTTCATTTTGAAAGCTTTGGGTGCCATCTGCTGGGTTCAGTAGGACCTTACACACTGGAGCAAAATTGCGAGTTGCTGGTTGAAAAGTGCTTGAAGAATTGAATTTACCCAGGGTTGCAGTGTCTTTCTTTGCACCTCCTGGTTCTTTTGGCTCTGCTGGTGATAACATAACCCAGGTCTATGGGATGTACTCTGCCACACAGAGAAGTGCCTGCTTACAGTTCCCTTTTAAAGATACCATTCAGACTGAATTCTCTAACTGTTTTCACTGTGTTTGGTCACATAACGGAGAAGTGGTGGAAGGAAATAAGGATTGCCAGGCATTGTGTCCTGGCCACATATTGCAGTAGCAGAGCCCACTCTGAGCGGTGTTTAGGCTGTCTGAGGCTGCTGGAGACGGGGACAGGCAGACGCTGGGGAGCTGGAGAAGGCTGTTTGTTTAGGGGCCCTGGTTACTGCCTTAGTTTGATATGTGGCATAGGTGTATAGCAGCAAGATACAGGCCTGTACATTGACACAAGGTATTAGAATAAGGTAGCTGTGAGCCCTTCCAGAGGACTGAAGTGGACTTTGCATATTCATCGTCCAGGGGAGATGGCCAGCTATGTGTTTGCAGAAAAATGGCGAAAAACGTGGCCTGTGTGAGTAGCTGAGTTCAAACACTCAGGGACCTGTAATGCAGTTCCCACAGCACTGCCTTGGGACACATCTGTCACTGTTGGACCCCTCAAGAGTAATACCCTTTTGTTTTTTTCTTCCTCACAGTTATCTCCCTGATGTGTTCATTCTTGCTTGGTAATTTGATGATACAGGGCTTTGGCAGCAATACTGGCTTGGATGGTCCCATCCTCTCATCCATCCCTTGCTACCTGTTCTCTCCCCACGCCGCAGTGCCCCTTATCCCCATGCTGTATGTGAGGCCATGCTGTGTACTGCTGGGTGTTAAAAAAATATAAACCAAAACTACAGCATGATGAAATGGGTTGTATTTAACCCAGACCAGTTCCTTTTTTTTTCGAATCACAATGTGGCCTCATGAACAGTTGGGTCAGCACAAGCAAGGAAAGCCTGGTGTCTGCAGCACTGAGAGGGGAGCAGGGGCACATGGCTGAGGAGCAAGACCTCTGTATTCAGCTCTGCTTTTGAACCCCTAGATCACCCAGCTGTGGACAGGGTTTGACCTCCACGCCAGGGGTGCCCCATTCACCAGCAGGTGTCTGTGGGGAGACATCTGACACCTACGTCAGCCCCGGGGGTGGTGGGCTGCTGACAGCGCTCTGCACTGCGAGGGATCCTGCTGAGTTCCCCGTGTCCAGCACTGCTCTGCTTTGGGGGATTAACATGTATAAAACAAGGGTCCTTGCTGCTAGGTGGAGGTATGTTTTGAATTTTCAACTGTCCAGCTGAAAAGAGTGGTTTGACAATAGTGGATCCTTGGACCATATTTGGCTGCTCTTTTGTGCGTTCGCAAGATTTCGCTAACTGTGCACGTATAATTTGTAAGAATGTAAACAGAAATGAACGCATAAATGAGGGATAACGAAGCCTTTTCCTTTAGTTTCATTCTTTTCCTTGCATATCAAGAGATGGCAGTATATTATTCCATCCAAGCTACTAAAGACTTACAGCCTTCTCTGCTGTAGCAGGGGAACCCAATTCCTGGGGAGTCTTGGGAGAGGATGTTCAGTGTCAGGCAAGTAGGCAGCCTGGCATTTTGATGATCTTTGAGTTGCAATGGTACGTCACCACACAGCACTACTACATTGATCAGTAGGGGGAAGAGATCCTAAATTGTGTCCAAAAGAAAAAAAGGTTTAAAAATTGTAAAGGTTTCTAGTACAAACAGATGAAATAGATTACTTCTGATGGCGTTGTGTTTTGAATGATCCTCTGTCTAGAACATATGGCAGTATTACAAAACTGTTGGCAAACAACAGCAAGAGTAAAGCAGAATAAAAATATATAGGAAGAAAGCTAGAACTAGGCCCAAAGAAAGGCAGTCATTTAGAAGGAAAAATCTGTTTCAGCTGAGAGTTTATGCTTAAACAAATTTAACATACTCTTTGAAAACTAATTATGTTCAGCATTCAGTCTGGATGCCTTACAGATGACAAACCACAATGAGAAACAGACTTCCTTCCAGTGTTTATACATTGAGTATTAGGCCTTGAACCATGGCATTTGTAGACTTCATTGAACTTTAGATCACTATTAGATTTCTTGAATTCATATTACAATGCATTAAAATTATTTCAAGCAAATGCTGCCAGTGGCAACTCATGTATAGTTCATAATCACCATCTTTTTTATATTTTCTTATACTCTGTTTTTGCTGCTTGTTTTTTTTCCCACATCATCATCAAATTAACGTGATGCCTATAGGTAGCGTTCTCACCGAGGTCAAGGGCAGTGCCTTCATACTTTTGTGTAGTGACTTGATTTCTGTGTTTGTCTTACTTTATGAATCAATATCTTCCAGCACCCCCAGATTCAAAAAGAGTCGCAATACATCAAGTACTTATGCTGCGATGATCAAGCAACCCTGCATCAGTGGGTAACAGGAATAAGAATTGCCAAGGTAAGATTAAAAGTAAATTTCGTTAAATATGTTTTCTGTAAAGTCCTGTCTTCCTCAGGTTACTGGCTGTCATCACATCAACTGGAAATATGGTGACAAGAATGGACATTCATGATAATTTTACCATAGAAAGAAAGAGCAGAAGGGCATGACCAGGATGGATTTGCTGAATGTTCCTGCACCCTATTTATCAGTGTGTTTTTCTCATTAACATGAGGGTGAATTCTGTAGCTATAAAACTCATGTACTCTTAAAACTCACTCCACAGTTACCTGGCACAATAATAGTATGCTGTGGTTAAAGATGTGCAAGCTCTAATCAGTCCAGCTGTGACATTTTTCAAACAGTTCTGCCCAAATTACCTCATTTTCTTCAAAAAGATCTGAATTCACAGACCATTTTGTTTTGCAGAAAATAGTAAGGGAGAAGGTTTTATACATAGCCCAGTATACTGGCTGTAACTGGCGATATAGACCTGCTCCTGTTAGTTATATATTCTTTTCTGCCAGTTCTGCTGTAGGATGACATCCAACAAAGGTGTGGGGTGAACGTCAAATTATTTTGTATCTTACACTGACAGAGCTGTTGCTCTAGAGCCCAGGATTCAGTGTCCAAAGTCTCCAGTCTGAAAATGTAATACCTGGAACCTATTTGAAAAAAGATAATTATTGCGAACAGTTGGTTTTAAAGCCAAGTTTCAAGATGCTTACAGATACTGAAATTATCATAAAATGTGAGAATACTATCAGTAGGACTGTGTTTGGTCACAGGGATTCATGTTTTATTGTGCTGTTGCAGAGATGCTTTCCACCTGGCCCTATACAGAAATAGGCACAGCACTTGTAGAAAGGTACTTTTTAACAAAACTGGGTAGGAAGGAATGGGGTAGAAAAGTTGAGAGCAAAACGAATGCTTGGCCTATTTCAAGCTTAACACCATACTTATTGTATTATTTTGATTATTTTGCAGTATGGCAAGACACTATATGATAATTACAAATGTGCAGTGAAGAAAGCTGGCTTGTCCTTGCGGTGGACAAATCAAGGGATGGTGGAACCAGCTGCCCCTGCAGGATCCTTTGCAGCAGGTATTGATGCTGTCACAGCAGTTGAAATCACATTTATTGCCCTCTTCTGTCATCATCAGTGTTGCACATAGTCTTTATTCAGGAAGCTATCCCATGGATTCAGCAAGATGATATCTTCTTTCAGACAGCCCAGTGTAGCTCTGATCTATAGCTAAGCTAGCAGTAGAGCTCTCACTTTAAAGTTAGAACTTGAAGAATATAAAGACAGCCCACCAAAGGTCAATTTAAATCTGCATAATTTAATAAGGTATTTTTCTGTTGGCATCTGAATACAAATCCTTTATCCTCCCTCTACATTTTACAGACTGATGGTCCATGTCTTGAAGTTTGCTGTTTGCCCATCTGTACGCTGGCTTTTCTTCCAATGAGTAAAAGGGATGAGTGTGATATTCTGAGAATAATCATTTCAGAAAGAGATACTTACAGAGTGAGCCACTTTCTTCCCTAGCCTTTTACTGATTTGAGTGATAACAATGTGGGTGTTAGGAGAAGGATGCAGGGGAAGAAAGGATTGGATTATTCTCTAACTTTACTCTTCCAGTAGCTTCATCATACTGCTGTTACCTATTTTATCATTGTACAGATACAATGCTGCATGATACTAGCTGTAACTTGCATGAATGTTTTTAGTTTACATGCTTAAGATACGCTTTATTTATTAGGAAGGACATGCTGGCCAGGTACTTACTGTCATAAGACAGGCAAAGTCAAAATCAGTGTTGGCAGTTAATATTGTGACTTCTCATATAGACAATTCAAAATCCTTCAAACACCTTTCCAAGGCTTTAGTTTACCTTTTCTCAGTACATGTGAGAAGGGGAAGGTCTTTTTACTATTCCTTGGAGTCAAATCATGGTAATAAATGCACATTTGGGGTAGGGAGACCCAAAACAGACTGTTTTGAGATCGGGGAATTTTTCTGATGATTGTGCGTGGGGGTACTTTAGCAAGGGTGGATGGGACAGTTGTAGAGCATTTTGTGTTCTGGTATTGATGGCAGTAGAGAGGTGGCTGGTCAGTGGGGCTCCACACTGGTGCTGCAGTCTGTACTGGATATGGGCAGGATCAAGGCCTTATAAAGTGTGTTATACATCTGTATAACTTCAGCTCCTGACTAGAATCCGGGAACACTGCATGTGATCATAAAATACACTGTTAATCTTAACTAATGGATCCCATTAAATGTTTAAGTAGCCTGGAAAGATTTCAGTCATGTATGTTGTCTCTATGGAAATATCTCTCAAGGATCATTAGCATTCTAATTGAGGCAAGTCACTGTGATTCTTGCTGTCTTACAGTTATCATTACTGCCCTATATAAAACATGGGGCCCAACTATAATACTATAACCTGAACTGCCTGACTATGAGCAGCTGTTGGCTCATGTTTTGGAAATGGAACAAAGCATGTTTTCTTCTGTTCTGTTTTCAAAAGGCTGTATAGCCATTTATATGGTCTGATTTTAGTATAGGCTAAAATCTGCTATAGAAAACTACAGTCCTGTGTGAGCTTAGCAGGGAACTGTACTCTGTTAACTTCAGTGGCAGCCAAAAGCCATGCTCAGGAAGGCAGGTGGAACTTCTGTTCTTGCCATCTCATGTAGCCTGTATTCGCTGGTCACACTGCTGTAGCCAGCATTCATGTGTTCGCTTACACCCCAAACTGCATAGTCCGTGGTTCTGAAGTGTCCCAAGTGCCAGGCGCATCTCAGGCAAAATATTTTGTTTGCCTCTCTGCCTCACTATGTGTGTCTTTGGACACTAAAAAAACAGTGTATGTTGTGCACCAGCACAATATCATTATGTTTGAAAGATGAAGGATATTGCTTTATTCAGATGTTCCGTATGATTACGAGGCTCAATATTTTGCATTACATATTTTGTGTATCTATAATTTTGCATTATATTTGGATGACCTTTTTTTGCTTAAAACAAATATGAATTCAACATAAAATTTTAGAGAAATTGACTTGCAAAGAATACTATAACATTTAAAATAAAAATAAATCTTGATAATAGAATGCATGAACTGACATATTGGATTGACTGGGGTTCCTTTAGCTGACTGACTTTGTGTATAGCATATATGAAGGTATCTGGCAGGAGTTGATATATCCATTGCTGCTTTCAAGTCTTGCATAGTTTATGAAATCCATTAACAGAAGAAGAAACAGATTACCATTTAGGCATGTCCCAGCTTTCTGGTATATCATATGTGCCAAGTAGAACACTATACCTTGCATTATATAGAGTGGATCTCTCTGCTCTCTTCCATTTAGTTAAATCTCAGCATGACTGAGGGCAGCAATGTCTTTGAGCAGTGGGAAGCCCAACTCCTGCTCTGCTATGACCAGTAGACAACTTGCTCCACTTGTGGGCGTGGCCACAGAACCCAGGGATTTACATCTCTCTCCACTAAGCACTTCGAGCCACAAGATTGGTTTTATCTCTTTATTGACTTCCATGTTGGTCCTTCAGCAGAGACTGCAGTTTGAATGATCAAAATGTTACTTTTGATTAAATATGCTGAACAACATGCAGGCACAGGCATAAAACACAAGGACTTAAGACCATCTTCTGTCATCCCTTGGAGCCTAAATAGCCCTAGTAAATTCAGTACACTGCAGAGTTTGTCTTCTCTGTCAATCGTGTGATTCGTAGGCATGGCAATAAAAATAATTTATTCTATTTTTTATCCTATTCATGGAACCTCTTTGCTAATCAGAAAAGTACATGTTAAGATTAAAATCATTGTTGTGCTTAAACTTACATGTAGACAGCTAAGGGTTCACTAGCATCCAAGAAGTACATGAGTTGAACTTCACTGGATCTCAGAACTGTAAATTATAGTAGAGCTAAGGCAGTCATTAACGTTTACAAATGTATGTATCTAGGCACCAAACACTATCTACTACTTTGACGTGTACAACTTCCAAAATCCTAGACTAAACTGGAGAGTTTATTTAATCCTTATCAGACTACACAGGGGCTGGGGATTTTTTCATAATTAAATGCACAAATTTGTCCTTTGGTCTCACATTCACTTATTCCATTTGACAGTACTAGGTTATTTATGCATATCCCTTACAAACACAGCAATGGTGGGCAGACGTTTTGCAGAGCTTTAACTTAGCCAGCTAGCAGATCTTCACTAATCTGAGAACACAGTGAAGTTCACAAATCTTCTGTGATTCCAGATGGGGAGAAGTTTAAGAGCTGTTAGCTCATTTACTAAAGAAAATGGATCAGCCCCTCTGTAGGAGTTCAAACCTTCACCTCTCATGACTCTTACTGATATGAAACTATGGTGCTTTTAATCTTTAGCTTAAAGTAAAGGAAGAAAAACATGCAATACAAACAACAGCACACTACAAACTTCAAAATGCTGTTATGAAAGACAGGTATTTAAACAATGGAAGGCCAGAGGGTGGGCCAGTTTGATTTCTGCTTAGCTTCCCTTCCAAAGCTAGCTCCCCTTCTCTATTCCTGTGTCAGCCTTAATGGTCCCCTTCTGTAATCACCATTTACAATAGTCACAAGAAAAAGCTCTTCACTTGTCAACACCTCTACACACTCTGATAATTTCTGTCATATGTCTTCATAATTCTGCCACTTGCACTTCTGTAGGATTGTCAGCTACAACCATGGAGGCATGTGGACAGATACTAGTTTTAATATAAGGTATCTTATTGATTTTCCTTAGGTAATGAACTGAATATGAAAAGTCACAAAATAAGCCTGAAGTAGAAAACAGACATTCTCATGGATTTTACTGAATTATGTATAAAAAACAAGCGGTTACTTGGTGGAAGTTGTAAAGATGTTTTTATAGCCCTTTCTTAGCTTGCTATTCCCTGATCTGGTTAATATCACAAAAATGTAACACACTCTTCCCTCTGTCTCCTCTCCTTGTCACAGGTGCTGTTCAGTCAAATGGACAGATTCCCCAAATAGTTCGTCGTTCCAGTGCAGAATTTCCAGAGACTCAGAAGAAAGTGGACATGTTGGAGGTACAGGTCAGCAGTTAACTAGTTAAATGTCACCTGTGAAACAGTTCTTCAAGTTTGTTTTTCTTCACCCACTGTCTTCCTCCCTCAAAGTGCCAGTGTACTGTTGTGTCAAGGATTTGGCTCCTGTGCAAAGTGTCTGGTTCCTTGCTGCCCCTCCTCATGCTTTACACACTGCAAACAGTGTGCCTGTTGCACAGAAGGAAGGAGCCACTGATGGGAGGTGAAGGCACAGCCATCCACCACTTCCATTCTTCAGAACAAATAGCTGTGAGTTCACATAGCAGGAACAGGAATGTGCCTACTGGGACAGTCTCAAAGACTCCATGCTGCCAGAACCTTGGTGCTGTTTTCTGTCTCTGCCAGAAAACAGGTCTTGCCTTAGGAACACAAAGGATACAGTAGTGTTTTCAACAGGGAACACTGTGCACAGCTGAAGATAAGCATGTAAGAAAGGATTAAGTGTGAAGATGTAAGGGAAAACATTACATGTTTTCACTAGGCTCTAAATGCATTCCTTGGTTAAGGTTCAAATTTTGTCTACTTGCACCATCTCTGGCTGTAAAAGTATCAGTAGGCTACAGTATGAGGACTTCAAAAACATCCCACAGAAAAAAAACCCTTCATTTGTTTGCAGTTCATTATTCAATCCCTCCACCATGCATAAAGTGCACAGGACAAGGGAAGTGAAATTCTTAGGATTTTTCTGTCACCTGCATTATGTGTCCTAAGCTGCTTGTTTCTGTCTTTGAGTTCCTCCTTTAAAAAGATCCGTTTCTCTGTTCTGAACCTCACTTCCTCTGGAGTAGATCACGTTCTCAGAACTCAGCCAGTGGTTCCCTCCTCCTGTGTCTCATTTACTTCCATCTTTGTAGGCAAGGAGAGTGAGGAAGAGAAGGCATGCATGTTATACTTAGCTAATGCCAGAATTAGTACTGCTGACTGCAGGGTTGCAGAACACTTTTCTCTAGCAGAAGGAAACATGCTGCCTTCTTCATCTGATGGCTTCTACAAGCCTGGAACCTAAGGATCAAGCTGAAATCTTTCAGGGTGCACTGTGCTACAGTTAGAGCACTAAGCTAGCTGGATCCAAACTGATAAATTAGCATAACTAGAAAGTAATGTGTTACAAAGCTTTGTTTTCGGGACAGCAGGCTTCTCCACAGGTTTGCAAGAATAGATAGCATGTTTGTGTAGTAACTGTCAACAGCTATCAGTTGTTACCTGAAAAAAAAAAAAAAGGAGCAAATTATATTCAGATATCACCAAATGGGCTTTATTTATCTTCAGAGTGTCGACTAGTGAACACAATTTAAAAGAAAAGCCACCTAAAAGTTTGTCAAAATAAACATCTCCATAATGAACTGCTATCCTACATTGTATTTTTCTTCACTTGTATGATGGATACTTTGATTCATTTTTCCTTCAAAAAAGTTGTCAGAGGGTTTGAACATCTCGTGACCTTGCAGACATGGCTAGAACTTAGTGGCTTAAAGGACCTGTTTGTCGCACTATTGATTTGAAAGTGGAGAAGGTATGTGCATGTGCCTTGCCCAGCAGGCGGAAGACACCCTTCCTCAGGCTTATCAGTGGCCCTTGCCAGGTCACTGGTGGAGTATCTTTCCCGTGCTGTGCACCACGCAGAATTGTGACAGATGGCTTTCCCAAGTGCCTCTCTGCACAGTGCTTTGCAGTGCTCTGCCTCCCACATGGAGGGGCCCCAGTGCACTACCCTGTGGGTGAATGCATGTCACACCATGCTGCAGAGTGCTGGGGACAGTGAATCCAGACATGTAAACTTTAAATTCCCAAATCTCTCCAACTTCTTCCCAGTTCACTGCTGTTGTGTCTAATGAGTTTGGCAGGGATAGGTGACTTCATTATTTTAGCTTTATCCAGAGATCCAGCAGTCACAGCTAGAATGGGAGATGGAGGTACAATGGGGATGAGAGCCAAAACTACTCTGCTTTTTATGTTCTCAAATCTTGCTCAGTACTTTTGGATGTAAAAACATAGCACAGATCTTTTTTTTAAGTCTTCATGTTCTCAGGGAATGAACAGCAGGGTGGAACATCAAGAAAGTATCTTTAATGTCTTACTAACTGCAATTCTTTGAAATTTTAAAAGCACTCATTTTCTGAGGACAGGACTCGAAGAAGCACTATGAATACTGTCAATATGGAGGTTTCCACTGTCAAAGCTCTGTGGGCAGCTCCAGAAAGAAAACAAAATACTATTTGCACTCTTTAGACAAAATGTATTCTACTTCATTTTGCTGTCTGTCTACTGTACTCTTCTCGTACATTTTCACATCTTTTCACTGTTCTTAGGCAGTGGCATTAGTTTACACATGCATTGACTGTGTCTTGTCCTTTTATTCCTTCTGCTTATTAAAGGATAAGTCAAATAACGTCAGTGCACCTGGCCTGGCACAGTCGGTGATGAGGCCACAGAAATACCAGAGCAGGGGGAACTCACTGCAGCCCCCTCCTCCACCTGAAAGGCGGTCATCTGCTATTTCTGTTTCACCAATTCTACCCTCCAAAATCAAACGAGACAGCGGCGTTTTCCTAACAGATCCAGACAGCTTTCCAGCACCACCACCTACACTGAAGATTGATTTTCCACCACCACCACCACCACCATCTGATTTCTGTGAACCTCCTCCTGATTTTGTGCCTCCACCACCACCAGCATCCAGCAGTGGTAATGTAGACCTGCCATTACCCCCTCCACCTCCACCTGTCTCCAGTAAGCCACCACCTCCGACAAAGAAACCTGTGCCACTTCCTTCAAAAAGGCTAGAAAACACAGGACAAGCTGGAGAGCCACGGTCAGCTGGGCCACCTCCAATAGGGGGTGGAGGCAAGCAAGCAGATTTCATGTCTGACCTAATGAAAGCTCTTGAGAAGAAAAGGGGCAGCAATTCCTGAACTCTGGGAGCAGGTGGACTTCAAGCCATAGCTGGTTTTGTGAGGCATCATGGAAAGTTGTGCTGGGTCAGGCTCCTCCAGGAGGAATTCTCCTTCAGAGTTCCTCCTGGGGGTCTAAAGAAGTGAGGTGAAGTGCCCTCTGTCCCCCACTTTGTCCCTATAACCTGGTGTGCGCCCCTGCCCCCCCCCCCCCCCCATTAACTACCATTCTAGCATCAGACCGAGGTAAGAATTGGCTGTAGAGTCTTGCTTCACTCCATCAGGACAGCCAGGGATGGTGGAGCAGCACTCGCAGAGCCAGCCAGTGAGTGAAGTGCATCTTCTCTGGCTGCCTCTCTAGTAGGATTGGAGCTGAAGGAAAAAATACAGCAATGTTCTTGTGTGAATGTTGAGAAGTGGGAAGATTCCTTTTCAATGAATTCCCCTTAAAATTTCTTTTATCAGAAAACTCCCAATTGTGGGGTTTTTTTTAAATAATAAGACCCCAATTTCTTTTTCAAAAACAGTCTGTCTTAAAAAGTAAAACCTCAGCTAGATTATTCTGAGATGCAAGGCAGGACCAGAGCCATTTCCAGACAGTGTCACCCCAAACGTTATACACTCCTGCTTCCATATGCAACTCCAGTCATACCCATCAGCACTCAGTTGCTGCCTTTAAGTCTGGTTTATTTGTTTAATCTTAAACAAAGAAAAAATTTTATTTTGAAATCTTGTGTGCTTCCCTTGGTAAGCAGGGATTTTTTTCCTGTTGATTAACATTTGTCTTCAAACTGTACCTAGCAATAGTCTGTCTTCTGAAAGCCTTTGTAATTATCTTGTACCTGATACGAATGTCTCCTCCTACATTTTTTTTCATTTTTTCTCTCATTTTAGTTCTCTGTTGTTCATTTAGGCAGCATTCATTATTAGTTCTCAAAAATAGCTTCTATTTTATATCTACACAAAGTGTCATAGTTAATGAACAGGCATTTTACTGGCAATTGGTACCACTTCAACTATTTTAAAGAGTTTTTGCCTATACTTTCTAGTCTTTATTTTTATTTCTTCCAGTCTTTGCCTCTTCTCATGCACATGATCTTCTAAGGTATCATAAATAGTACATTTCTGTATTTTGCAATACAAATAGCATAAAAAGCGAAGTGTGCAGTCTAAATAAATACATATGAGCAGCTGGCAGAGGAGGGGGTGAGAGCACTGCTGTTTGTCAGACTGGAGTCCTAGGTCAAGAAGTGGTGGTGGGAGGCAAGGGAATGACAAGCTGGTGGCAGTGCCACGGCCTAGGAAAGTTTTGGGTCGTCTCTAGTCTTATTTTGGCTTGAAGTTGGTGTGTCAATACCCATGTACCTGCAGAAATGTGAAGGTTATAACCACATCTTTATAAAGTGCCTTTCCTTTTGAAATTACTACCTTTTTTTTTTTAAAGCTGAAAACAATAATGATGTTATGAACCACATGCATTTCTTCCTGCCACTGAAATGATTTGCTTTAAACACTGTGGTAAAGCCCACAGCTGTGTCATTTCTAGCGGAAGAAGCGGCTGCTTGAGGCAGACTGATAAATGCATCTGTATGTGGGCAAAGGCGGTTGTGGTTAGTATTCCTCCCTGGTTTTGAGCTTGAAAAAAAAATGTAAAAGCATTTTAATCGCAAGGTTTTACAAGATCGTATGTGTGAGAGATGGTAAAGAGCGAGATACGTATCTGCGCAGGTGGCGGAGAGTTGGGGCATTGCCTGCAGGGGCCGCTGTTTGAGCATAGACAAGGAGCATTAAAAGTGCGTTGACAGTATGGTTTAAAGGAGGCCCACCCCCACAGCAGTATGTCACACCACATGTTCCCATGTTGACCCCACTCCCCGGTGGGGTCTTTGGTTTAGGTCAATTATCTGACCACTCTGGAAGAGGTAGGGAACTTTTTTGGCTCTCCAAGGTCATGCAGGTATATCAGGCTACTGAGGCCTGGCCTTCACCCCGACATGCCTTGCAGTCTCTGCGCTGACTGACATCAATGACAACATTGTCAGTAGAGTCCAAAAGTGTAACACTAACCGAGGTAATCGCTGGCTGTTACAGCCCCACATCGCCCCAGAGTTGCAGACCCTTATCTTCCACACTGTCCACAAGTTCACAGCACAACGGGCCACCCTTTTATCCAAGTACGGACAGCAGTGCTGGCTGGCCCATCTCGCTTTTGTTCAGGTGGTTCCTACTATGTTTTGCACATTTTGATGGCTGCATAAGCATAGTCGTCCATAAGACAGCAAGGACCAGGACTTTGCTATGACAAAGCACAAACCACAAGCACTCAGGATCAGGGAGCCAGACCTGTGACAAGTTGGGGCAATGCAAGGCAAAACATGCCCATCTCAGCACTAGGAGGAGCAGGTGGTACCTGGTCAAAGCAGTAGGAGCGAAAGGACGGGCCCTTGGAAGGAGCCGATATGGAGGGTGGTGATGGACACAAGAGGAACTTGGGGATGCTTCAGCTGGGGAAGTGCCAGATGAGTCACTAAAAAAAGTTTATGTGATGTCCCGCAACTTAATCTGTTTTCAGTGGAGACAAGTTGAAGCTAAAGGATATTTTTCCTGCAGTAATCATGCCCATCCCCAGAGTTACTCAGGTGTAGCCATGAGACAACCGCTCCCTGTTTCCTCCTTCCTTTCTTTGGTTTGTCAGCCGTGTAAGCATTGGAAGAGTAGTTAAATCTCACATCAGGGATATGGGGACGGGGGGATGTCTTACGACTGCTGTTAACCATTTCTTTGCTCTGCACCCTATGGTTAAGGAGCTATCATTGTTAGCAAGATGCTTCAGCTTGTACACCTCTGTCTTTACCGCTAAGTAAAAGAAGATGAGGATGCAAGCTTGAGCGCTGGCCTAGTGCTCACCTGTACTGCCAAAGCGGGCCCAGGCGCAATTCAAGGAACTGCCTAGGACAGGAACCGTTCCCAGAAGACAACATGGACAAGTCTAAAGCAAGTTTCACTCCCCGTACAGAGATTCCCCTGTGGTGCAGATATGGCCAGTTAGGGTACCAGTCTGTGGGCCAAGGGACTAGTTCCTGGCCCTCTTACTTACCAATACAGACAGACCCCATGCAACTCTTGCTGTCTTCTAGCCCCTTTGCTTTCACTGAACTGAGCAAAAAGCTCTCATCAAGAGAACTATGTTCACCACTAACACAAATGTCACCTAGAAACTTTGAACTGACATGCTAGAACATTCAAAAGGTATCTCATCATCTCTGAACAGCCAAACTGAGAAATGCTCTCGAGACCAGTGCAAGGCTTATAAGCTTAGTACAAGCTTTAGTTCCAACTGCAGGAGAAAAAATATTAACTAGCTAAAGGTAGCAGGGTTAAAACTAGGGCTTAAAAAAAAGGGGAGGAGATTAATGTTTCCCAGTTGCTTTCCATATGTAACTGAGGTAAGCATTATGCAAAAATCACTGAATGCTAAGGAGCTGGGTATCATTTTCTGACAAGGTATTAGGAGTGCACATCTTCAACACGCTTACGTGACAACAGCTGCCTGCTATCCAACTATTTTTAAATCAAATGAATTTTCTTTTATGAAATATACACTCAGCATCAAAATAAAGCAGAACACGTCCTTAGAAAAAAGATGCACAATAAGCTAGTTTCTCTGAATTCACAAAGCACTAAGACTTCTACATGGATTTCTTAGCAGTCACTCTTCTCACCAGAAGTCTCAGACTCCTGCCCTGTTTCCTCCCTTCTCTTTTGTTACGGTACAATAAACTCAAATTTTATACATTCTACATCTGCAGTCAGTCGTAACTCATGCACTTAATCTTACACAAAAGAAAAAGTTGAGCTTTCTTCGACACAAAAAGAATCAAAGCCTACAGATAACTCCAGAAATCAATTAAAATGCTGTGATGATTAGACCTCTATCAACTATTTTGTGTATGTACATAGTTGCATTGAATTTCTGAAATGTAAGTATTCAACTCCATTCAAAGAACAGAGCTACCACCTTAATGATACACAATTATCTGGCTTTATTTGGTATAAAAAAGATGCTGCAAAATACAAAAAGATCTTCCTTTCCAAGACTGTAAATCAAAGCATTTGTAAAAAATAGAAATGAATCCTTCCACCTCTAGCTAATCTATTGCCATATGAAATAATTGTCTTATTCCTGTAGATCATGGTAGTATGTACACTACTAGAGATTACAGTATTTTAGTCTGAAAAGATCTGACACTGCAGCATGTTATTTTTAACCTTTCTCCATACCTCAAGTGGAAGCAGTCTCAGCAGCTGTCGTCTTCTTTGGGTTCTTACGTCACTGCTACGGAAGAAGGACCTACTTCAAGCGACCATGTTTCCATCAGTCCTTAGGATTAGAAAAGTTACAGTCATGTGGAAAAGTCCACGTGTGGGGGATCAACACTGCTGCTGCCCCTCATAACTGTCCTCTGATACAGAAAGAGGACAAGAGTACAACTAAACACCTGCTTGATTACCAGCCACGGTATTTTTTATTCCCCATCTGCTCTTGCATCACTGCTGTGTTTATGTAACATGAAGGAAGAGGCAGCTCCGAAACCACAGGTGGAAGCCAATGATTTTAGGGAATATATCATGAAACACAGTATTAATGCTTACATTGTCCTAATAAAACCATAACGATTAAAACCTAGAAGCGGAAGGGGAGGTGGTATAAAATGCTGAGCATGATGTGGCTCATTTCTCTACTTTTACAAAACATAGTTAAAAGGTAGTGTTGAGATAACTATTCACGTGTTCTTCACGCACTCTTTGTCAGGCACTTTGAGAGTGGAAAAGTAGAAACTTAAATGGATCGTGGCAAAACTACAGAACAGAACTATTATTTATCAGTGATTATTGACGGTCTCACGGTAACTGGGAAACAGGCATGTTCTGTTTGAGGGAGACACGCAGAACAGAACAGATTCATATCGTTAATACTTAGGAATTCTCATGGTCTTGTGGAATATTCTAAGGCAGTTTGATCACCATTAACAGTCAGTACTGACTATTATGAAATCAGAATAGTTACTAAAAACAGGCACTATAAACTGCATGGTAAAACTAGGGGAAAAAAATAATGGAGATTTGCTTTCACATAAATCAAGGAAAGAGGACATGACTGAGTCCATGGATGAACTCCTGGAGAAGAGATGTAGTTGACCTACTCTCTT